CTGGTTTTCAAATGGCTGTGTAACTGATGTCAGCTCATGATGAAATCCGCTAACCAATCAAACAAAATCCCTACAAAACCAATGCTTGAAGAACAGCTTTTTCTCCGCTTTCACGTACATGAAGATCTGTATTTATCAGTGTTTATCAGAATTAGATGCTGAAGCACTGTGAAAATATTACCCAAATTAAATTATCAACTGCATATATTAGATAGGAAAAATTCAATATTTCTTATTATTATTGTTCCCTTGAGTTCCTAGTGGAACATAGGGCTTCAAATACACTTCTCCACTTCCTTCTGTCTTCCTTCTCCTGTACTTTTCACCTGAATCCATGTTAGTCCATACTCTTTCACAACTCTTCTTCACACCATCTCCTCCATGTCACCCTTCCACTGACGTCCCACTCACCACTTCCCTTTCGGCCTGGTTCCATTCGAGCAATGACCTGACGCGCGCGCGGTGTCAACCAGCCGCCTCCTCAACGATTGTACGATCCATCCATCTCCACTTCCTCCTGCATATCTTTTGGTTGGCGATTGATTGGTTCTTGTTTTGTTTGTTTCTTCCCATAGTTTCTTCTTGTCGGTGATTCTTTCCAGTCCGGCCATCTGATCTTCAGTATAAAGCGATAGTTGACAGTTGTTGATAAAAGTCTGCAATATTCTTTGTGACCCGTATATCTTTTGTGATCCGCATAGAAAGAAGAACTGACTGAACTTGACGCTGTTTGTATTGAAAATCCGACCGAATTTTGTTATTGATGCTGGCTGAGTGACGAAGATTTCCAGATTGGTTTCAGTTGGTTGGTGAATGTGTTTTACGCTCGCCTTCCCGATTTTCGCTCGATTTGACATCCTCGTCCTTTCCGACAGCGTGTAGTTGAGACAGTGCTCCCTAGATAAGCGAGTGAATGAAGTAACCTCTTTCAAATCCCTCCTGTTGATGATGATTGGCGCTGGATGTTGCTGCTGTTGCTGTTATTGTTGGTTGGTTATTTTCCTAACCTCCGTCTTGTATATGTTCACCTAGAGTTCTGTCTTCGCCGGCTGCTTCTTCGACCAGTTTGTCGGTTTTCGCTCGCTTGTAAGTTTTCGATTTTGTGTGACATCAAACGTAAGTCATCCGCGAAGTATATACTATTCCAGTGTGACATAACTATCGCGTCTCATGATGATGACCATTATCTGACCATAATTATAGGTAACTCTGCGTATTTGAAGCTCAATTGTTGCCTTAATGTATATATTATTTTACATTTCCATTGGAACATAGGGCAACTTCAAGCTGCATGCTTGAAGTTTCGGTAGCATCGGTGTTTATTTTCACATTTATACCTTTATACCAGTCTTGTTACTGGCTTAGCGAAGTAAGGGAGTGCTTCGGCCGGGGACCGAACCCCGGAGCACATTCATGGTTGACTGCCGTCCTACCTCTGTACCACCGTCGAACTTATATATATATATATATATATATATATGTTCATATAATCTGTTCGTATTCTAGTGAAGAATTTGTTTTGTCACAGTGAAGTTTTGAAGCATATTGATTCTTATCACTAAGAGGGCTGGTAATTTACAAACTTCTTAACCATACTTTTAGTATTATATAAGTATGGTGATCAAAATCACAGAATTTGGTTTGTCAATATATATATATATATATATATATATATATATATATATCTGGTGCAGATTTCATAATATAAGTGACAATATAACTTGTTCTAATTAAAAACGTCTCTTTGGGATCTAATAATACTTTCTCATAGTTTGAGAAGTGTAGCGTCTGAATGTTTTAATGTCTACTTACGCGCACTACTTTTCAGTAGCTTTTTATCTTCACTATTTTCTCTCAGTAAGCATCACTCTGTCGTAGCGTGATACAGTGAACTTTATTTCTGGCCTTTAATACTGATCTAGACAATCCAGGTATGGCGGGTTAGGAGAGTCATTAATATATATATATATATATATATATATATATATATATATATATATATATATATATTAATTTTAAAAATTGGTGTATTTTCTATCTTTTGGAATGCTTATATAAATCAGTTCTAATTAATCAACTGACAGATCTAAAACCAGTTAGTGAAGATAGAAAGGGCTAGTTTAAAGCTAAACTGGTTTACTTTACAATACCACCGACAAAACAATTGAGGATTTTGCCGAAAGAACTTAATCGTCTTAACGATAACGATCTAACAGTATTATTGGGAGTGAATTAAACAATCTAATGGTGTAATATGAAAATAAGAAGGGACTACATTAGGAATTGGTAACTGTCAAAAAAAGATCAGAGGGATTTAGTTGAAACGTCAATTGCAGAGATGCTCGAAGATCTTCTGATAAAGAAACTCATGGATAATTGAGTCATGAAGAAAATGAAGAACAAATTCAACGAAAAAAAGTTTTCTTTATCGACGAAATCATCTTCACAGGCTGTTCAGTCGTATTTATATTTACCAAAAAATGTACAGTAGTCAATTAGTGAGTAATAGAGGGTGGCATAATTGATATAATTAGGCAGAAGTGCCTTTAGAAGCGAAAAATATAAAATTAAAATAAATTACTTAGTAGTACTCAACGGCACAAAGGAAGAAATGGTTAGAAATTTGATAAGGTTAAAATTGTTATTTGAGTGAGAATAAAGGCAGTTGAGTGTCAATTTAACATGTGTGAAGAGGGTGTGAAGGTGTACAAAAGGAACATGCGAGAGTGATAATAGTGAATTAATTATTAAAGTAAAGCAAAATAAAAGTAAAATTGAAAAATTTTTACACAGAACGACTAGTGAAGAAGTTAAGACCAAGGTAGAATAAAGGTCTTGACAAACATTTTCTGGGTTGTATTGATGAATCGCCAGAACCTCCGCCATACACAAAAGCCGAAACATGACACCCTTTGTACCATTTGGTCTCACATTGTAGATGGTCTTGAAAGACCACTATGGAAAAGTTACCTGGGTTGAGTTTACCAAGTGCCCGAGAATTGAGTTAGTAATTGTCTTACATTGTTCTTTTGCTAGCCATACCGTGTAATATTCAGAGATGCGCTTATGCACAGATGTACTTATAAACACACAGTGAAGTGGCATTTTATCCTTTACACATCCATTGATCATTTGTTGGCTGTAGAAATTGATCTGTAGCGCAGAAGCAAAGAAAGCTTTCCCTAGTGATCCACACAGGCGATTCTTCAGGATCTCAGCAGTTTCTTCGGCACCCTCTGAGTCTCTTCAGACCTTTACTTTAACTTCATGTTCTTCTCGATAAACCTTGCGGGATATTCAATCTCTATGAGGACTTGTCTGAGTCGCTTCAGTTCCCCGTCGATTGTATCACTGAAATATATTCTTCTTATTCTCGAGGATAAGAAGTGGATCAGGTTTCTATTTCTTCTCAAAAGGACTCAGCTATGAAAATTCGTGTATTGATCATTCTATGTTGGTTTCCTGTAGATCGATCTTTGAAGAGAACCATCAGGTCTGCTTTTTAAAAAAGCATCCAAAAAATGAAATTTTCAGTTCATCTCTGATCTAGACGTGAACTGGATAGCGTAATGGCAGCACTAGTTATGCTGATGATATCTTAATTGTTTCGGATGATTGATCACATATATCCTATTTATTATAAAGTTCTAATGACGCCCATGAAAACATTAATTTCTCCGTGTAATATGAAGCTGACAGAAAAACGTATCTGCATGGATATCGCCGAGAAAACACAGAACAAATATTACATTGCAAAGATCCATGAAACCAAAGTAATAAAACCCTAACATAATGAACTAAAAGCCCGTATTCATCCACCTGAAATTTAGCGGTGTTGATATTGCAGATACAAGTGAGCGAAGACTTATATTACCGACTAGGATACATCAGGTTCTTAGATCAATTCCCGTATCCTGAACAGAATGTTCATCAGTTCAACCAAAAGGTGATAGATACGCTTCCTTTATTAACGACAGCTGCCTAGATCAATATACAGATAGTTATCAGAGCACAGACACTGGAAGAACAGAGAAAGGGGCTTATCTTAGATTTTTTGCGCAAACACTGTAAAGTCTGTGACTGAGAGGAAGTATATCTTTGAGTGAAGCAGTCATGAGACATCTAAATAAATTTTTAAGTATTGGTTTTGTAGGAATTTTGTTTGATTATAAGGAATATTTCGTCATGAGCTAACATCAGTTAGAGAACCACTGGTAGACCTGAGAGTACTGAACAGCTGTTTCGTCACCCTAGTTTGGGACTCTTCATCAGTACGCACCCACCACAGGGGTTCTAACGCAGAACCTTCCGGTAACAAGACCAGCTCTAAGACCATTCAGCCACTGGGACCCGATCCAATGGTCCTTGAATTCTAACTTCCGCCAATTCACGACACAGCGCCAATACTTCGCAATGTCTTCTTCGATGAGTTACTGCCTCATCTTCAACCTGCTGTACCCTACTGGTCACGGCTTCCCACTAGAACTCCAGGTTAACTGCTTGAATAGGTCCAGTCGCTAGTAAGCATCATTTTAATTTTCAAGTATTGGTTTTGTAGGGATTTTGTTTGCTTGTATGGAGGATTTCATCATGAGCTGGGTTCGAACCCCGGTGAGTGCGTACTGCTAAAGAGTTCCAAATTAGGATGAAACAGCTATCCAGTACTCTCGGGTTTTCCAGTGGTTCTCTAACTGATGTCAGCTCATGATGAAACCCTCCATACATCTAATTGAGAAAGATACATCAAACCGACACCTTGAAAGCCTTCAAGATGAAATACGAACAAAAAAAATCAAACCTCTTCATGTTCTCAGATGTCATCGCTTTCGTACGCCATAAATATGACTTACGGAAGCCAGGGTAAACCTTCTATCTTGCTAACTGGGCTTCCAACCTCAACTAATTATATTGTGTTTTATTAAATGTAAATGGTAGTTTTCTTTCACTTTGGTTATATCAGTACTTATTATGAATGGTTTATATTTTTGGAATTTTTTTAGAACCAACAACAACAGCAACAGCAGCAACACCCAGCGCCAATCAACATCAACAGAAGGGATTTGAAAGAGGTTACTTCATTCACTCACTTATCTAGGGAGCACTGTCTCAACCACACGCTGTCGGAAAGGACGAGGATGTCAAATCGAGCGAAAATCGGGAAGGCGAGCGTAAAACACATTCACCAACCAACTGAAACCAATCTGGAAATCTTCGTCACTCAGCCAGCATCAATAACAAAATTCGGTCGGATTTTCAATACAAACAGCGTCAAGTTCAGTCAGTTCTTCTTTCTATGCGGATCACAAAAGATATACGGGTCACAAAGAATATTGCAGACTTTTATCAACAACTGTCAACTATCGCTTTATACTGAAGATCAGATGGCCGGACTGGAAAGAATCACCGACAAGAAGAAACTATGGGAAGAAACAAACAAAACAAGAACCAATCAATCGCCAACCAAAAGATATGCAGGAGGAAGTGGAGATGGATGGATCGTACACTCGTTGAGGAGGCAGCTGGTTGACACCGCGCGCGCGTCAGGTCATTGCTCGAATGGAATCAGGCCGAAAGGGAAGTGGTGAGTGGGACGTCAGTGGAAGGGTGACATGGAGGAGATGGTGTGAAGAAGAGTTGTGAAAGAGTATGGACTAACATGGATTCAGGTGAAAAGTACAGGAGAAGGAAGACAGAAGGAAGTGGAGATGTGTATTTGAAGCCCTATATTCCACTAGGAACCCAAGGGAGCAATATTAATAATAATATAATATTGTGAATGGTATGCTTTATGTGCCTGATATCCGACCTAATGAGCTTAACTCAGTGGGTTTTCCTTTCAAATATTTATTTCAGTTTTCCAGTGATTTATGCAATCATATAATTTATCAACCTCAATATCTTGTTACTGTCCTTGTCCCTCACCTTCCACTTCTAGAGAGAAAACTGTTCTCCATTACAGCTATAAGTTAAAATTGTAATAAAAACATTGACCTTCATTGGTAGAACACTGACCAACCACGCAAGTGATCCTAGGTCCGATCTTCGGCCGGTGCATATCCTAACTTCTATTATCTGATCGTAAGCCCAACAAAGAGGGATGGTTGGGTGTGAGGCTAGCAACCCCATTCTGCAAAAAGCGAAATATCACGGCCAATGAAACCAAGAGGCTCTAGCTTGAAGTCCTGTGTGTCCACTGGAAACGCAAAAGAAAAAAATGGAAAATAAGATAATTCAGGTTGTTAACAGCTGAATAGAATAGTGGCGAAATAAAATAGGTCCTTTTATCCTATACTATGGTTGTTACTGCTTTGTTGGAGTTTCTTTAAAAAGGGAGTTTGTATATTACATTGTAAACCTTATTTTCTTCCCTATTAGACTAGAATTTCTTCAGTAATGCCAAGAAAATTTTAAGACCAAGTACCTTATAGTCAGCGATTTTATTCACAAGTTATACAAACCGATATAGTCATCTTATTTAGATGATAAATAAATCCGACTTTGAAGGGGTTAACAGAATCACATTTTCAATTATGTGTATAAGTGATTTTTCGAAAGCACTAACAGTCCTTCTCATGTTAACTCCAACTGTGTATATACAAATTTACATGTTGTATCTGCGGCAGTGGTTACATCGGAAGAACAGAAAGATGAGCATATCTATGGTTTTCTGAACATGTACCACAAAGCTTTCGTCTAAAGGGAACAAATGCTTTAAACATGTGCCAGCGCCAACCACCTCCTTGACGCAAGTCATGAGGTGGACGTCGAAAATTCGTTCAAAATTAACAATAGGCAAAAAAGCTCAATTCTCCTAAAGTTTGCTGAAGCCATTTCCATCAAGTGCCTGAAACCTGATTTATGCGTCCAGAAATAAGCAGTTATCAGTCTTTCTTTGCCCTGGTAACTGGATGTTTTCATCTCTCTTTCATCTGAATGCGTAATGCTGAAAAGTTTCCATTGAGTATGATTATTATTGTTCGGAATAGTGTTTAATATTACATATATGTAGATGTATATATTACTACTGCATGCATACATTGATCGATTGATTTTTTGTTTAAAATGAATTCTGTGCAATTATGTTAAAATTGCTTTTGTAGATATATTTAATAATGTCTGTGGCCTGTAAGCAGCTGACGAGAAGGCAACGAAATAAAAGATGGTATCAATTTATTCTGCTGAAACTGCAGTTCTTACCTTGTTCAAATTTATTAAGGGGAATAAATATGCGTAATTTTATCCTTGCAAAGGACTACTGACGGCCACTACTACTATGTCTTTAAATAAGAGAAAGTAGCTGTTCAGTTCATCACTAATTCGGCTTTCACACGAACCTATTAGAAATATTAGTTTTAAATATATAAAACAAAGGAATGTTTGAAATTACTGATTCACAAGTGTAATTACCCCTTGATTTATCTCACCGAGATCATTCAGCTTCGTTTGGGAATATGAAATCCCTAAAAGGATGTCAAGATTAATAAATTAAAGTAACTTCTGTGCTGAATACGCGTTGCACAGTTGTACAGTGGCTTAGTGGCTACCGGTTTCAAATTTCAGCAGGAATACCATCAGTCATTGATGAACCTCAGATAGGAACTAATGCCAGTTCCGGATCCAACTGATGATCACTACTAGACAAACAGCTCCAAAAAAGATGTTTATTTCAAGACAACTTTTTTTATTCCTTGCCGTTCCCAGCGGAACATTTGGTGGCTTCACACTAGAGGCTTGAAGTTTCGTTAGCATTAATGTTTATTTTTACCGTATGGGGTTGCTAGCCTGATGGCTAACAATCCCTCTCTACTAGCTTATCTAGGCAAAGGATTACGTCGTTCAGGGATCGAACCCCGGACCACATGAGGCTTGGCTGGCGAGCATTCTACCACTGTGCCACCGATGCACCAACAATACACCTCGCTTATTTATTACACTCTCCTCAATTGTTGATTGAAACGTATTATGTAAATATTAGTCATACTACTTGACTGCTAAAATTTTCAGTAGTACAATTTTAATTAGATCCTTTAACTCATAACTATTGGTTAAAAATGTAAGTTACCTTGTAGTTCTATGGAGACTAACAAAGTCTGTAGTGTGCAGTGGATGCTTAATACTACGAATTAGTAGAAGTTTTATTAATGAGCCATTAGATTTCCTCCCAGTGCCTAAATAATCTGCAAGCTTTCCGTACAACCTGAAAGTCCGGACTTCAAACCTTGGTGGAGTCATGGGAGCATACCACTGAAGAGTTCAAAATGGAGAGGATGAAACAGCCGTCCATTAGGTTCCTAGTTTTCAGTGTGTTAAATAAGTTCAAGATCCAACCAGTAATCAAGCAAAATCCTGCAAATCAATGTTCATGAAATCACAAGTATCAACTAGTCTTCATACTGCCTATTCATTTCAAATCTATCTCTACACATATAATTGAATTTTAGATTTTCCCGTCGACTGATTCGATTGAAGTGCTCGCCGTCTCAAGTTGACATGTCGGCTGCTTGTGCAGATACTTCGACGATGTCTGGGCATGTAATTAGAAGTTAAGTGGTGGATGGTGACTGGCAGTGGAATCAAGGATAACGCGCATTTCGTCCTCTTTGGGACTCGTCAACTGGCTGGCTGAACCTGCATCTCTCACTGAGTGGTAATATTCCCACCGACGCTCAAACCCAGTGCCCATAGTTTCCAACGGCAAAGCGTTATGCACTAGACCACTTCGGCCACGAGAACCACCTCTTGTGCAACGGGTCATATTAATGATTTCATTCAATTTTGAATTTCCCCTCGTGATTGATTGGACCGAAGTACTCGGTCTCAGGTGGTTAGGACGAAATGCGCGTTATCCTGGATTCCACAGCTAGTCACCACTCACCAATTAAATCCTATCTCTATACAGTTCTCCTAATGTATGCTAAGATACATCTTGTAAAGCAAAAGATTATTGTGGGTATTTTTAAATATAATTTATTCGCTCAAATGAATTTGATTCCACTGGTAATTATTTGGCCTCGAATATGTTGTTTTTTTTTGTATTAGTGTTATTTTGTTAGGTGTAGGTTAGATAGCTTAGTGGATAGATAGATAGATAGGTAGGTAGATAGATAGTTGTTAAGATTATTAGAACATTGTTGTCCGATAGGATTAAGTCAATTAAAAAGTATCTTGTGTTATATATACATACTACATATATATATATATATATGTCGGCTTGAACGACTCTTCAAAATCTTATCTCGCCCTGATTATCAGTAGTACCGCTGTGACAAATTTATTTATTCAAGCGTAAATTATTTCTCTTCTTTATATATAAAACTGTAAGAAAGAAATAAGAAAAGGGATGTGAAGAGTGAAGGGGGGTAAAAAAACAAAACAACAACGTAGGCAAGAAAGACAAACAAAAATTTTGAAGTAGAAGTTGAACAGTTAAACTCGCCTACATGAAATAGAAAATAGAACTAATAGTGTGATTGGCTATGCAGTCAATCAGATTTGGGAGCACACACTATTTTACTGGTGTCTTCATCCTGTTTGTCAATAACTTGATGATTTTGGAGAAAAAATATATATCTTCAAGTATTACTTCTGTGGGGATTTTGTTTGATTGGTTGGAGGATTTCGTCGTGAGCTGATATCACTTGGGAAATCATTGGAAAACCAGCTAGAAGTACTCGAAGTGATGTCAGCTCATGATGAAATCATCCATCCGAAACCAATACTTGAAAATCAACTCGATGCTCACTAGCGACTGGTCCTGTTCAGCCAGTTACCTGGGGTTCAAGTGGCGAGTCGTGACCAGTAAAGCACAACAGGTTAAAGGTGAGGCAGTAACTCATCGAAGAAGACATTGAGAAGTGGTCAGTCATACTTTGTCATGAATTGACAAAAGTTAGAATTCAAAGTCTATAAATCTCTACCTCAACTTTATAGACTTTGAGAAGGCCTTCGACAGCGTTCACCGCGAAGTAATTTTGAAACTACTCAAGTACTACGGTGTACCTCAAGTATTCATCAACCTTATTCAACAGTTGTACGAAAATGGCACATGTCAAGCGATCCACAACAGAAAACTCAGGGAGGCGTTTGCAGTAAACACAGGAGTAAGACAGGGTGCTTATTATCACCAATGACATTCCTAATTGTGGTGGATTGACTGGATTATGCGTCAGACAGTTGGAAACGAGAAGACAGGGATATCCTGAACCGACTTGAAGAACCTAGAAGACCTGGATTTTGCCCGTGGATGATTTATGTTTGATGTCACACAAAATCGAAGGCTTACAAGCAAGCGAAAACCGACAAACTGGTCGAAGAAGCAGCCGGCGAAGACAGATCTCCAGGTGAACATAGACAAAACGGAGGTTATGAAAACAACCAGCCAACAACAACAACAGCAGCAACATCCAGCGCCAATCATCATCAACAGGAGGGATTTGAAAGAGGTTACTTCATTCACTCGCTTATCTAGGGAGCACTGTCTCAACTACACGCTGTCGGAAAGGACGAGGATGTCAAATCGAGCGAAAATCGGGAAGGCGAGCGTAAAACACATTCATCAACCAACTGAAACCAATCTGGAAATCTTCGTCACTCAGCCAGCATCAATAACAAAATTCGGTCGGATTTTCAATACAAACCACGTCAAGTCAGTCAGTTCTTCTTTCTATGCGGATCACAAAAGATATACGGGTCACAAAGAATATTGCAGACCTTTATCAACAACTGTCTTCGCTGGCTCTGTACTGAAGATCAGATGGCCGGACTGGAAAGAATCACCAACAAGAAACTATGGCTGGTAACAAACAAAACGAGAACCAATCGCCAACCAAAAAATATGCAGGAGAAAGTGGAGATGGATGGATCGGACACTCGCTCGTTGAGGAGGTGGCTGGGTGACATCGCGCGCGCGTCAGGTCATTGTTCGAATGGAACCAGGCCGAAAGGGAAGTGGTGAGTGGGACGTCAGTGGAAGGATGACATGGAGGAGATGGTGTGAAGATGAGTTGTGAAAGAGTATGGACTAACATGGATGCAGGTGTAATGTACAGGAGAAGGAAGACAGGCGGAAGTGGAGAAGTGTATTTGAAGCCCTATGTTCCACTAGGAACCCAAGGGAGCAATAATAATAATATAGAATTCATGTGTTGATCATTGAATCGAGTGGGTTTTAGTGAGTGGCTTAATGGTCTTCGAGCTCGCTAGCCTTGTAACTAGAAGTTCCTGGGTTCTAACTGTGGCGGTAGATGCGTATTGTTAAATAGGACGAAACAGTGGGCTGTCCAGTACTTCCTGTGGCTACTTTTCCAATGGTTTTCTATGTAACTTTTAAACCAATGAAGGAGTTTGACAGAAATGCATTAAAGTCAAAAAGAAAACCAACTGCATTGTCTTGCTTTTAACAGGACACCTATCATGACCTGAAATACACTTAGTTAATACACCATAGTTAATGTTATCTAAACTACAAAGAGAGAAAGAAAGAATTCTAAACACTTAGTTTCAAATGATCGTTGTGTATAAACAGGTGGACATACAAATCTGATGGGTGCTTTTCTTTCTCTTTAAAGCTGCTTATTTAATTCCAATCATTTATATACAAGAGTTGTTTGTGAGTATAGGTTTAATTTCAAAATATAAGAGTGTTTTTTTTTACCTTGGTTTTTAATATAATACATAAATGGAATTAAGAATAAGACATTTTTGTGACTAATTACTTTTAATGCACTCAAAAATTAACAGAAAAGATCAAATTTTTAAGTCTTTTACTTTAAAATGAGATAAAACAAAGTTAAGATCCATTAGAGATAAGATAAACAGTACGATAACAATAATAATAACTAACTCACCAACTAACTAACTAACTAACTAACAAGAATTAGAATGGACTAATAATGAACTTGGTCGACTGAATAGAGTAAAATTGAAATCTATAAACATTCTTATAAAATGACGTAAGACTGATTACTTATTGAATTATATCAAAAATATAAGAAGAAATATTTTTGAATGACTAGAACTTGATAAAAATGAAAAGACAACAGAGTTTTAAACTAATTAATTAGTTAGAAAGTTATAGGAAGTCATATGACTTAGCAAATATAATAAGAGTAAAGATTCTTCTCAATTGACTAGGTTATATTAGATGCTTATAATTACCTACATCAGTTCACCTTGATTGGTTGGAGGATTTCATAATGAACTGACATCAGCTAGAGAACCGTTGGAAAACAAGCCACAGGGAGTACTGGACAGCCGACCCTTTCGTCAGCCTAGACCGCGACTCTCCTTCACCTCACCGACATGGTTCGAACCCACGACATTCTGGTTACAAGGCTATTGAGCTCGTAGACCATTCAGTCACTCACTGGGACCCACCAGATCCGATGGTCAGCCGATGATTTCTAACTTCTGCTAATTTACACCATAGTGCGATCATTTCTCAATGTCCTCTTCTATGATTAACTGTCCTCACCTTCAACCTGTTGTACCTTAACGGTTACGACTTCCCACTAGAACCCCAGGGGAACTGGCTGAATATGTCCAGTCACTAGTGATCAAGTGATGTCAGCTTATAAAGTATGATCATAATATTTAAGCTTGTTAAAAAAAAGTAATAATCAGGGTTTTTATTAAAAGGTGGGATAATCCAAACTTTTCAAATCTTAATTTGACGATTACCATGTAGTGCTAACTATATACTACTGGTTGGTCAGTATGAGTAGTTGGATATCACTCAACATCAACTAGTAAGGCATAGTAGTCAGATGACTTGTTTCAGTCTGAGTTAGTCAGCAATGTAACCGATTTGATTCAGCTTAGGCAGTCAAATCAGTTCACACCATATGAACGCTGGTTATAACCAAATGGTAATAGTTAGCCATTTTACCGAACAATGAAGATATACTATGCATATGTTCTCAGTATAATATTGACTTAATAATTCCATCTGTTGCTCAAAGGCTTGAAATGTTACCGAAATGGAAACATAACAGCTGAGTATAAGCTCAAGTAACAAACTGATCTATGGTATCATTGGTTCAGTGAACATATAACGAATGTTTATCTGAATCTATGGAACACTCTATGAATGAATACTGTCCACTCTGATAAAAGTCTCTTCGATGTATTCTTCCAGGAATTATTATTTCAAGTAGTTGATAAGTTCACCTAATAGATATATGCATTTTGATATCAAGAAACGAAAAACAACATTTCACTGAATCATGAAGATACGATGAAAGAGGGAAATTATTATTTCTGTACATCCACTGAAAGTTTTCTCTAATTCTGTCTATGTATAAGGTTAATAGCCCACAGCACTGTCGTCATCTATATCTGGGATTCATGAGAGTATCAATGTAAAGCAGTTTCTCGATGCATTACAGTTCACACGTGTGAGTAGTATAAGGAGAAAGAATAAAATCTTTTGCAAAGACTGATATTTAGAAGAAATCATAGAAGTGACTGGGAATAATCTTCTATCAAATTCATTCGACTAAGATTGATTAACTTTCCCTCCTTTTTAATGAGGAGAATTGACTCCATTAGGCTCGGTGGATTACCGAAAAATATATAAATGTTAGGTACTGTTTTTATTAATGGCTATATTTTATATCAAAACAAGCAATGTGTGGATGAAGTATCCTTTAAAAGTCAAAACACGAGAAAGTGATAACTACCGGAATTCCTATCTCCCACCGAACAACTTATCAAACATTAACTGGTCAAGAGGAATTTCTGTTCTAATTTCATGTTGGATAGTTTATTTACTGCAAACCATAGCACCAAAAGCATTAATTGGTTTCGGCGCAATTTATTCCTCATCATCACCTCGATATGATAATGAACAACCAATAAACAAATTAACATAGAACTGTGCTCTTTTACATTGCCATGTTCTACTCTCTTATACTGGTCTACTTTCAATTAGAAAAGATTAACAAATACTGCTTAAAATCAGTTGTAATTGGTTGGAGGATTTCATAATGAACTGACATCAGTTAGATAACCATTGGAAAACCAGATACAGGGAGTACTGGACAGCCGAACGTTTCGTCAGCCAAGTTTGGGACTACAGACTGGGTTCGAACTCACGACCTTCTGGTTTCAGGGCGAGTTCGTAAACAATTAAACCACGCACTATAAGGTTAATTAAATAGGCCACACTAGTATATCGAGGTCAATTAGATTACTGGGACATAAAAATTTGGCTAGAACTAGAATAATTGACCCTCCTAAGTTAAATAACCCTGGAAAAAACAGACCTCAACCACTGCAGTGCATTCATTTGCATGTAATCAAAAATTCAACCTTTCTGTTTTAGGTATGCCCTAAGAAATTCTATCTCTTCCAAATATTGTCATTTTTATTCCACGGTTAGGATTGACCATGATCAGTAAGTTAAAGACATACCGCGTGAAGTGCAAATGTTAAGGACAACTATTGAATTCTGATACGAACTTTATACGGGAATAAGGAGTTCTAATTGTTCCCATAGACGAAAATAAACTAGAATCGTTCAGCAGATATTTTCATTAAAATTCAACAATAAATGATGTGGGTAACGACAACATGTGTCCCTGTGATTTTCCCGTCTTCTGCTATTGGTCGTACAGTTATTGATGACTACCTCAGGCAATACAAATCAGAGTGAAGAATTATCTTGTAATGTGTAAAGTACGTATCAACCCGTTATTCATTTTACAGAGTAGACACCAAGTATTGGTTTGCAGGGACTTGATTGATTGGTTACAGGATTTCATCATGAGCTGACGTCAGTTACAGAACCATCGGAGAACCGACGGGGAATACTGAACACCTGTTTTTCCCGTCCTAGATTGGGGCTCTGTAGAGGTATGCCCACACCTCCAGAGTTCGAACACAGGACCTACTGGTTACAAGGCCAGATCGTAGACCATTAAGCCACTGGGACCGCAGCCCGATCCACTGACCAGTTCATGAATTCTAACTTCTATCACTTCATGAAATAGCGGGACCACTACCCAATGTCTTTGGCGAGTATTTATCTTAACTCTCGTAGACATCATTCAACGAATCATATCAAGTGGTAATACTCTGTCATCATCATTGAAAGTTCCTCTTTGCATTGATTCTCAGAATTCTGATAGAAAATGCAAAAAGTAAACTAGCAAAACTATTTTCATCCTTAATGGAAACAAGCTGATCTTATCAATTCCTTAAGTTTTCAAGGTGGCAGGCAGTAGATTAACATGAAAACTACCATTTATCTTTCAACAGGAATCGGTTGTCTTTTTTTCCCTTATAAATGCAACACTGTCGAAGTAATTCTATTAAATACCATTTGATGCTAATAATAATAATAATAATGGCTTTATTCCAAACAGTACTTTTGGTACACATACAGAATCTTCAGCATATAGTACAGTATGGCCTCTAATTTTCCCATTACCGAGGGCACAATTTAAACAATGCGCCTACATCGATAACATTTTTAAATAAGAACATGAAAATATGACAAAAATTCAAGTGGAAATACTGACAAAAATATAGGAATGAATGAGAGAAATAAAAAAGACCGTTAATATGTTTCTGAATAACTTGGCAGTATCATGCCTTACATCCTTCTGATTTTATAAAATGCTCCCCCAAATAATGGAATTGCAGAGTTTTTCTGCTTATTCATCCAAACAAAAAGTCTTCAACAGTTGCTTCTAGTTCTACCTGATAATATGCAGCAAAGAGAAAGTTGGTGCATAAAGAGGATGATCGGCGTCTGGCAAGATAATATTCTCTCATTTCTTTTGTGAGTCTATGTGTTTATCTTTAGCAGTATTAACATGTTGGTTTAGCAACATCACACTTGGCCTACTGACAGCTTTTATTACTCTTCGCAGTGTAACATAAGAAACCCAGGAAGGATTTAGGAGGGGCAGTAAAGAAAAATACGTGGAATACAAGAATTAACAAACTTAGGCAGTAGAGACTGACTGATAACATACTGTCTTAATTTCCTTACGTAGAATATTAAATGAAATATCTTTCCAGAAACCAATATGATACGAGAAAGACTAGAAAAGATCAGAGGAAATACACCATTCAAGGAATTTAAAATTAGACTTAGTTCCAATTTCAATATCATCTGTGATAATAGAATCTTAGCGATTGAACCATTTCATGTGAGTAGCTCTTGAGTCTGAAAGTGAAATTAACAACTTAATATTTGGAAGGATTTAGCTCAAGATCATTTGTCAACAAGCACTGACTAATTCCTGATAAAAATTTACTCATTTTTGAACAATCTGATTGAGAAGTATCCGACATGGAAACATTCACACCATCGGAATACTTAATAAAACTGACTTCGTCAGAATGGGAAAAGTGAAGTAATAAGAAAGAAAAGGGAAGAGGAGAAAGAACAACACCTTGAAGAACACCAGCTAGAATAATTAAAGCAGTGGAAGGCTTCTCATTATATACAGTGTACCAATTCCTATCAAGAAAGTAAGAATGCAACCATCTGGCAGTCCAGCAGTGTGCTGGTGTCACAACAAGATTGTTTAACGAAAGAGCCCTAGGTGCATAGTCAAAGGCAGATGTGCAATTAAGGAAGATATACCCAACATATCTGTCACTTCTGTCTAAATTAGAGACAATATGGTGATGTAAGACAGCAGTGGTATTTAAAGTACACTCACTATGCTTATAAGCAAATTGTTTAGGGTCAATAAAAGCCTTCAATGAAGATTCAAGGTTAAGTAGAAGCAGTTATTTTTTCCATTATTTTAATGAAAAGCGAGGTAACAGCAACAAGTCTAAGCTAAACACTTGATTCGCTTTATGATTTAGTCACAGGGACAATTTTGGTAACCTTAAAAGAATTAGGCATGATGTCAGTGTGAAAATATTTATTGAAAATATCACTGAGAGGATAACATAAAATATCGGTTTACATTCTTAGAATAATAACCAGCACATCGTCTGGATCAAAGGACTGGGTAAGCTTCAAGAATTGGGGATATTTGAAAACATCATTTGTAATAAAACTAGAGAGGTAGTCATTCTTTGCACTCTTAGTATTTGAAACAATATCGTTTGACGAGGTGAAAAACACTTCCTCTACAAATAAATACCTGAAGGTAATTGCAAGATGGTTGCATTTCTGATTAGTAATGCAGCTGTTCAACAGCGGAAAATATGGATATATCCAAAATCGAATTCAAATTATACTACATGCAATCGGAAATTCTTGGCTGAAAGTTACAGCTACTTAAAGAAATCTCTCTTTTCTATGTTACGAGACCAAGATAATTATGATAACCATGAAAATGTTGTCCATTGTGGAACGGATTTTTTTTATAAGTGTTTTTTAACGACTCACATACATAAATGACAAGTTTTTGCATATTTAGGCACTAAATAAACTGGTTAGATCAACTGCTATGTAAGCAGTTGTTAAATGTAACAAACTAAACTGTCGAGTATATTTATGAGGTTGTATCGTTTTCTTGGTCTCAAGAAAGCCCAACTAGTGAATAGATGCATGTCGTGCACACTTCTGTTAGCAGAAAAGTGATATAGTGTCAATGAGGGGCATAAAATATTTGAATTTATGCTCTATACTCCAAACTGTAGTTCAAAATCCGCATATGCATTTTGTAACATACAGATCACATGTAGTATATTTGGTGAATACTAAATACTCTCTTGGGGCACCAGTGCGTCGATAGAACAGCAGTAGAATGCTTGCCAACTACGCAGGTGGTTCGGGGTTCGATCCCCGCCAGACACATTCGTTCACCTAGCTAAGCCAGTAATAAGACTGGTAAGGAAGGAAGGTTAGCCATGAGGCTAGCAACCCCACCCCGTAAAAATAATCACCACTGCTATCGAAACTCCAAGCCTCTAGCTTGAAGCCACCTCCTTATGTTCCACTGGGAACGTAAGTTAATCAGTTATAAAAATCATAAATTAAATATTATGGGAAACTATAGACGCTCTTCTTTCTATGTAGTAATTCATCACAAACTTACATCACTCTAAGGGCCATTGGATATTTGTTTCATCTCAGTTTGCAATTCTTCAGCATTTTTCATCCATGATCCCACTAAGTATTGAGCTGACGACTTTTAGGTTAAAAATAGATGACGTTTACTAGGTTCGAATTCAGTGACACATGGATTCTTTGTCTCATAAAACCTCTGTAGTAGATCAGTAGCTGAAAGTTTATTATTACCGGTTTCACTAAAAACTGCACTCTGTCAGACAAGTCTGAAATGATGAAAATCATTTGTCACGTAAGATCAAAATACCTCAGGTGAGATTTTCTCTAAGTTGGTGTTGTTTAGGGGCATTAATTATTTTCAGTTATGGGTTCGTAGGGATTGTTGTTTGTTTGACTGGTTGAAGGATTTCATCATGAGCTGACATCAGTTAAAGAACCGTTGGAAAACCACCCGGAAGTACTGGACGGCGGTTTCCTCACTCCTAGATTAGGACTCTGCTTCACAAGTACGCACCCACCCCACCCACAGGGTTTGTAACCATAAGCTTCCGGTTACAAGACTAGAGAGCTTGTAGACCATTAAGTCACTGGGACCCGCTCGATCAAATGACCACTTCATGAATTCTAACTTCTGCGAATTTATGACATAGCGCGACCAGCAGCCAATATCTTCTCCGATGAGCAAGTGTCCTCATCTTCAACCTGCTGTATGTACCCTGCTGGTCACAGTATCCCAATAGAACCCCAAGTAACTGGCTGAACAGGATTAGTCGCTAGTTAACATCAGATCAGATTTCGAGTATTGGTTTTGTAGGAATTGTGTTTGATTGGTTGGAAGGTCTCATCACGAACTGACATCAGTTAGAGAACCATTTTATGTTATATTTT